GTGAGCCGGAGGGAGGAGGCACCGGGCTGACTGGTTCAGACTTGCTGAGAGAAAAAGCACTTTTGAGCCGCTTTTTCTCCGAGCTGGGATTGAACATTTACTCACCCGGCAGGGAAATGGGCCGCTTTGTTTCCACCTCCTCACGCCACCTACCTCCCGCTCCCCCAGCGCACAGAGTTCCCCTCTCCATAACTCATTGTTGGGCTCCAACGTGTGCTTTCACCATGTGCAGCCCACGGGCACCCCCCAGCGCGGCCACCACCGGCTCTGGCTGAAGGCATCTGCTGCGGGTTAGACCTTGGTGGAGAAACTCCCAAGTGAAGCCGGGCTCCGGGGTGCAGGCAAAGGGGAGGAAAAAGAGGCGGGGGTGTGTGTGGGGGGTGAAACTGTTGTGGTGCTGCCAGATTGATCCCTCCCAACGCGGTTTTGCGGCAAACAAAACAGCCCAGGGCTTTGAGTTCAATGTGTAGTTCGGGCTGCTGGGCTGCTGGGAAAACGGGTTTGGGGTATTTTGGGGAAATCCAAATGAAGCATTTTGGTGTTTTGGGAAAGGAAATGCTTCAGTTCCCTTCTGTTGAAAGAATATTTCGACATGACTTTACTTGAACTCTAAACAAAGAGAACAGCGCTGGGAACTAAAGGAGATACATACCAGAACGCTGTTCCAGCGGGGGAAGGGGCTCAGCAAGGAAAACAGGCGTTTTCACAGGATCTGCAGCGATTTCAGGGGAATGTCGTATGTTGAGGAAGGCACCAGCCTGAAGGAGCAGCAGTATGGTGAGCCCTGCTCCATCCAAACCCTCTGACCTGCACCCGCGGCTCTCTGAGCACCCACACACAGCACATCACCCCGGGGTGTCACCCACCTCCAGCCCCATCCCACATACCCACTGTTGTTATCCGGACCCAGGAACCCTTGGCCAGACCCCATCCCTGCTTCCCCCTGTGCACCCCCAGGCCAGCAGCATTTTCCCAACCCTTCTCATTCCCCTGGATCCAGCAACCCCCCGCTCCCATTCCTGCCTGCACACACACGTTCCCAACGGTGCTGCTCCTTCAAAGGAAGGTAAAAGCAAAAACCATTCCACTCTGTGTGTGTGTGTGTTAGTGCAGCTCCCACAGTTGCCAGCCCTGGTCCTCTAGGAATTTTGACTGTGTGTGGATGGCACCGTGCTGGCACCCACCGAGTGCCCTGGTTCCATTGGTGGCCATGCTGTGATGTGACAGCACAAGGCTGACAGCACTGGCCTTGTCCCACCAGGAGAGTGGACATGGGACCTGGGTCACCACATGGTGATGGCGACTGGGCTGGTTTTAGAGCAGATGTGCAGGGATAAAGCTCTGCTGCTGCACAGGTAACTGTGGTGAGCAGACTTGGCTGGGGAAGCAGGGAGCAGGCAAAGAGCAGGAGGGACAGGACAGACCATCAACACTTGGACACTCAGGGGTGAAATCGGGTCTAAAGTTCAGCTGGAGCTACCACTACAGAAGGTCAGGCAGGAGAGGGAGTTAACATGTAACCCAGAAGGGCAGCTCTGGTGGGAGAGTTGGATGGGTTTTGCCTCTACCAGTCAAGCCTGATCCCAGCCCATGGGGGCACCTCAAGGCTCAGGGCCAGCAGAGCAGGGACAAGAGCCTGGGGTTAGAATCAAAGGTCCCCCAGCCTGTACCCTATCCCCACTGGTGTGACTTGGAGGTTACCCTTGTTTGCTCTGAGCTGATGGATTCACTCCTCATGTGCAATTGATTCTGGCCCTTCGTTAATCACAGCTAATTATTACCAACTGCTCTATCAAGTCACAGGGGACCCTGCAAGGGTTGGCCCTGGAGGTGGATGGGCAATGGTCCAGACCAAGCCTGGGGAAAGTCAGGAATTGCCTTTTGGAGACATAGGACAAGGGGGAATGGCTTTAACCTGCCAGAGGGGAGACTGAGATGAGCTCTTAGGCAGAAGTTCTTCCCTGTGAGGGTGCTGAGGCGCTGACACAGGGTGCCCAGAGAAGCTGTGGCTGCCCCATCCCTGGCAGTGTTCAAGGCCAGGTTGGACACAGGGGCTTGGAGCAACCTGCTCTAGTGGAAGGTGTCCCTGCCTGTGGCAGAGGTTGGAGCTGGATGAGCTTAAGGTCCCTTCCAACACAAACTAGGCTGGGATTCTGTGATGATTCTATGATTTATGGTGGGGCAGCAGCTCAGTACATTTGCCCAGAGGGCTGGAGGAGCTGGTTTCTTCACATCACTCTCATCTCAGTTTCCATGAGAGATGATTTTCTATTGTTGGGGCTTTTTTTTCAAAGGGGTGAAAATGAGATGCACAGTTCTTCATCTGCTCTGCTTGTTTTGTGCTACAATGCAGCTTGGTCCATGCCCCAAAATTAAGCGGTGCTTAATTTAGAAGTTAAGTGTGAAAACCCCTTTAGGATGAGAGTTGCCAAATAAAGATGAGGAAAAGAACACAAAAGAAATTACAATGAAAACCAGCAAGTATCATTTTTAGCCTGGGCTTTGTGTTCCAGTGATTACTTCTTGGAAACAAACCCCAAGCCCTCCACATGGCTAGCGAAAGCGAGAGGAAAATAAGCACATTTCACACCAGCTGGTTGTTGGCCATGGGTTGATGGAGGGAACTCGTGTGATCTTTGCCATATGAACTGTCCAGCTGGGAGAAAGAGATCTCCTGGAGGATTTCTATATCCCAGTTTGCTCAGCACAGAGCAGAGGGGCATTAAGAACGTGCCAAAAACCTGCTTGTAGAGAATAGCCCTGAAATTCCAAGTCTGGACATAGGAAGGTGTTGCTGTGTCAGCCCCTCTGGAGAATATGGGGTCATACGGGCACCTTAAGGAAATCACTTAAGGAGAAAGTGGGCAGCAGATGCCTTGGGAGGCTGATGCACAGCCCCTTCGTGATGCAGCACGGAGAGCAGAGGCCAAACCTCATCTCACCAGGTTACACACAGAGTAAAGTGACAGGCAAAGCGCCTGCAGCACCAATGCTGCCTGCAGATGCACCCCAATGGTCCATGCTTGGAGTTTTAGGTGTTACTGCAGCCAGAGGCAGGAGGTGAAGTGGGAAATTGACCATATGGAGGACTGGGGACCTCATTGTGATGGCAGAACCCAGCTGCAGGACCAGAGATGCCCAGGTCTGTGCTCAGCATCATCCCACAGCAACAGCAGCACTGAGCGCTGGGCCCTGCCTTTTCACCCCACACAGTGGACAGGGAAAGGGGCTCAGGGATGCAGCTGGGCAGGGAAATGGAGCTGATGTGCCCCAACTTCTTCCCTGTGAGGGTGCTGAGGCACTGGCACAGGGTGCCCAGAGAAGCTGTGGCTGCCCCATCCCTGGCAGTGTTCAAGGCCAGGTTGGACACAGGGCCTTGGAGCAACCTGCTCTAGTGGAAGGTGTCCCTGCCCGTGGTAGGGGGTTGGAACTGGGTGAGCTTTAATGTCCTTTCCAGCCTAAACCCCTCTGTGATTCTTTATGCCAATCTGGCAGGATGCAGACCATGGGGCAAACTTCAGTCCCCTCCTGCTCCCCAGCAAAGTGGGAGGGTTGTGGGGACAAGCCATGGGCTGAGATGGCAGGTTGGGACCTCGTGTGGTGGCTCATGTTGGCTCTGCTGGGGCCCAGCCCAGCTCTTACCACAGCAACGAGATGTCTGGGCATGGCAGAGCCACTGTTCAGCCCTGGACCATGGACCAGGGCGAGATAAGCAGAACACACAGCTTGAAGGCCATCCCCTCTCCAGCAGCCACAGGGCAAGCTGTGGGGCTCTGGGTTATGCCCTGGAGGAGTGCAGAGATGGGAAACATCTTTGAGAAACCAGGATGCTGATGCAAACCGCTGCCTTCTCCTTTCTTGCTGGCTCAGCAGACACGAGCTGATCCTGCCCTGCTCTGAGCAGGGTAAACAGTGCCTGAGGTGTGTTGAAACACAGGAGCCTCAAAAGCACATGGTCCAGGGGTCAGGCCAGGCTCTGTCCCCAAAGCACACAGCTCAGAGAGGGGATACTGAGTGAGCCCCTTTTCCACCCCTGCTACATGGAGGGAGGGATGGAGGGAGCCTTGGGACACCCTCAGGGCACAGCAAGGTCCTTCTAAGATTTACCACCCTCAGGGCAAGGTCAGGCCAAGCTGGGAAAGCCCCAGAGCACCCAGGGTGCTGCTGCTCAGCCTGGCAGGGGAGTCCCAGTACCACAGCCCCTGGGCAGGGGCATGGGGGCTGCTGCACCCCCAGGAGCAGTTTGCCTGCAGGCCCCTGGAGCAAGGGGAGGGTGCTTTGAGGTCACCTGGGGCTTTTTGCACAACAAAGCCATGGGTTGCTCCTTTATCTTGTTCTCCCTCCCCTATTATCAATTGTTTTTCTCGTCTGACTGGATTTCCCTGCTGCCACATCCCCAACAAAGGGAGAAGGTCCACACGGGTAGTGAGGAGGGTGAACGAACCCCGCACCCTGCCCCAAACATCACTGTAACTGGGAAACATTAATAGCATCTGTGTTGTCTGTGACCTGGAACAGCCCTACAGCACCCAGTCAGCCATGGCTGCTCCAAAGTGATGCACCCACTCTATGCTGGCACCCAACTCCAGCTGCTCTGTGTCATGGTGTCTTGCCTAAGAAGGAGCGAGGAGTGACAATCTGCATGTGCCACCATGGCACAGGCTGCCTTGGAACTGTGTGGCACCAGGTAGGGTTTGGTGGGGGCTATGCCAGCATTAGCAGACACCCCAAGCCCTAGGACATGGTGTCTCCATGCCTGGTCAGCCCAACCTTGCTCCCGCATGTCCCCAAGGTGCATCCTGATCTCCCAGCCCAGCAAGTCCCCATCTGCTTCCTCCTGCTCTGGCCCCAGCCAAGGAGCTACGTGTCTGTCAACACACACCAGGACACGGTCTCTGCATCTGCTAGCAGTGAGCAGTCCCACCACACAAAGGGAAGAGGTGGAACCAAACACAAGATGTAAAGCTCTGCCAGGAAGATGACACCGTGAGAGCTCCTGGTGACAAGTGGATTTGTTCCCCACAACAGGGAGTATTTAGAGGCTGTTAACTCCTGGGGAGCCCCAGGAGGAGACGGGCATGGCTGTAACAACACTCATGGTACTCACCAACAGCTTCCCGATAAAGCAGGGCTGATACGACAGTAGATTCCAGGCACCAGGTATAGTGCCCACACATGAGGAGAAGCTGCTATATCCGAGGCATCTCTCAGGATGTCTGATCCCACCACTGGTCCCTCCACTTGTGCTGCCTTCAGCACCACATCACATTGCACAAGCCAAGGCTGCACCTTTGCAGCTGCAAGAGTGGCATTTGTGGGTACCAAACTCTTCCTGTGCATGTCCCTGCATACCCCAAGGAGCTCCTGAGCCATAATCCTATGGGCAGGCGGGTGTTAAAAAGTGAAGGACACTGGGGCACAACGGTGTGATGTAGTGTGAGCAGTGTAGGGCTGTGGCAGCGCTGGGACACGGCTTGTGCCAAACGCAGCAGGACGCTGACGGGTCCCTTGAACTGGAGCTGCCACCTGGTGGCACTGGGACAATGCTGCCCGCCAGCCACACGGACCTGCCTGGGGACGTTTGGGGTGACCCCGCACCATGGCACTGCCCATGTTCAGCTGCCCTGAGGAGGCTGGGGCTGGTCTGGCATTGCTGCTTTCCCCCTGCGACACTCGCTCAACCCCTGCTGCAAAGCGGGAGTGGCTCTGTTGGACTTGTGGTCCATGAGACATGTATCCATGTGTGCCCTATCAGCCCATGGTGGGACAGGATGCCTTGGTGCAGTGGGACAGGAGCCAAGTAAGGAGGGGAAGAAGATGCTTTTCTGGAGCCACAGAGGATGTGGTTTTGAGCTTGTTGGGCAACTCCAGACCACAGTAAAGGCCCTTCTCCAGCCAAGGTTATCCCTGGTAACATCTACCTATGCTAGCTGCACTGGGAGGAAAGCCTGGAGCAAACAGTCTCCAGGGAAAGTTTCCTTCCCTTGACTTTGGGAAACCTCAGAGGAGCTGGGGTCTAGGGAAAAGCCCAGGCTGGGGGCTGCCAGCCCATCCCCAGAGCCCCCTTGCCCACCATGATCACTTTGCTCGGCAGGACTCAGCCCCATCCTGCTTCCCAGAGGAGACAGAAACAAAAGAGAAGGAGGGGGAAGGGCCTAAGAGAAACTTCTTCCAACTTCTGGGGAAGAGAAAAGCCCCATTCAGGCAGGAAGAATAGTGTGAAACCGGTCACTAAGCAACCCACAGCAATGTAGTACAGCCCAGCCAAGGAGAGCTGGGCAGGGAGAGACTGCAGGGCCAGGGGACACCAGCCACCACAAGGGGCTGAGACATCCAGAGCTTCTGGGAGCAGAATGTTGTCCTCAGTGGGCCCTGGGGGCTACGCAGCCTCCATCAGGCTTCCCCTTCACAGGGAGGCTGGCTGCTCCTCAGGTCTGCTCCAAAGCCCGTGGTTCCTCATGGATCTGGTGTTCACATGGGGCTACATCCACCATTCCTAACAGAGGCACAGTGCATTCCAGATAACTCCCTGCTCCCACGGTTACTGCAGGGCTCGTATGGGCAGAGCAGCCAAACATAGGCTACACCCTCTCCAGATAAACTCAATTCTTCATGTAGATTATCAATGGTGGGGGGGGCTGTCCTTTGCAAACAAACTTAGTGAGACATGAGAAACTGCCTGACCTCTCTGCAGCACAAGGGATAAAGGGACAAAGGAAAGGAGGCCTGACAAACCCTGCTGACAAGCCGTGCCCAACTGCCCCTCAAAGCCCAGGGTGTCCCTGGAGACACTGCTGCCCCTGGCAGGACGCTGCAGGAAAGGAAAACCACTCACAGTCAGAGCAGATCCACTGGGACCAGTCAATGTGCAGCTGGCCCCAGTCCAGAGCCTGAGGAGCCCAAGGAGCTGCACTGGACCTGCCTGGACACTGGGAGGGGCTTTTGCCTCCATGGTATCATAAGGGAAAAATCACAGACTCGCACAGAATCCCAGCATTATTAGGGATGGAGGGACCTCTGGAGATCATCCATTGCAACCCCCTGGTTGCACTGCCAAGGCAGGGCCACCCAGAGCAGGTCACACAGGAATGCGTCCAGGCGGGTTTGGAATGTCTGCAGACTTCACAACCCCCCTGGGCAGCCAGTCCTTCATGCATTCGTCTCCAGCACTGGATGTACTTGTAGAACAGTTGCTGGGACAAGGACAAACTTGCCAGGTTTACCCACTTCCTCAGGAGATGTTTGGCTACCGCTGATCCCTGTCCTGGGACAGCAAGGGCAACAAAGGGGGGGATACTCAGGTATGTCCACACAAGCTGCAGAGGTTTTCTCATTAACAGTCAGTCCTGCCCTTTCCTGGCTTCATCATCCACTCTCTCAAAGTTAAGCACCAGCTCTGGACACACACTGTACAACACAACCCACAGGGCTACAAGGAAAAAATCAGTTTGGCCCAAGTAGTGCCATTTATTTTGTTTGCACAAGCCCTTTCAGAAGCCAACACACTGCAGCTTTGCTGACTTCAACTGAGCTCATCTCAGCACGATGGGGACAGGCTCTCCAGCCAGCAGCAAGGATGGACAGCATCCATCCCTGAACTTGGAGAGCTCCTACCTCTCCTGGCAAAAGGAGAAACACAGTGCTCCTGGCACAGCTGGGAGCCAAGTGTGCCAAAGCCCAGCTAAGCAAGGACTTGGCACAGCAGGACCCAAAATTCCCACGTTCTGCTGCTACGGGAGCCTCAGAGCAAAAGGCACCAGGTCTGGCACTCTGGCTGCACCATGGAGAGCATTTACCTGCCCTGGAGCTGATGGGGGTGCTCCTTTGGAGGTGTCATCATGAGGCCACACTGGGAAGCAGAAGTGAAATGCATCCTCTCTTATATTAGTCACCTAGAAGTATCCATCCATCCTTTCTATCTGCATGGAGTAGAGTGAGAGCAGCACTCCAGGAATTAAGTCAACCTGAGATACAATCTGTGCATCCACTGGCTGCTGAGGGAGCTTGCTCAGACAGTACACCCAGCTCCAAGATAGGCACCACTCATGGAGAGGATCACCCAGAAGAGAAGTAGCCCCAGTCTGAGGAGCATCTCCTTGCAAACAGAGAAAACCTGGATGAAGAGGCATTCTATGACTCTATGATACCAGACCATATGCTTCCCAGATCCACCCTGGAATCTTCTCTCCCAATACCAAGGCCTACAACCATCAGCAACAGTCCTGCAGCACAGCCGAGTGGGACTTCTTTGATGGTGTGCTGCATTTTCTTGCTGTTCTCCTTGTCTGCAGCATCTGCTCATTTCTAGAAGCATTGTGACAGAATAGAGGGGCTGAAGGAGACAAGTATCTTTGTGGGCATGAAATGTGCCTGGAAGCCCAGACCTAAACTTGGCTCTGGTGGTCCTCTTCTATTCCCAGAGGGGTGGTAAGATTCCCCAGGCAATGGTCCTTATCACACAATCAGGCTCTCTGGTAAAGCTTCATGATGTTCTCATCGTGAAGCTTTTTCCACACCTGCTTCTCCAGGTTGAAGTCGTGGTTGGTGTAGAAAATCAGACGTTTCCAGTCCTTGTCATAGTAGTGATCTGAGTACTTCTCGTGCCCCTCTGTGATGTAGCCATAGGCACTCACCTGTGAAAGATGGAGGGCTCACTGAGGAGAGGCAGCAAGTGGAGTACAGGGGACAGTTCCCAAATGGAGAGGGAGCACAGGACAGATGTCATTTGGGGCACCTCTGGATGATGCTGCATGAGGGGGTCCAGAAGGACCAGACTAGACACACTGGCTTGAGATCCTGCTGTCCTCTCCCTAGGATGCAGGGTGGCTCTCAGCAGACTTCACCACCTCTATGTGAACCATCCTGGGGCTGTTTCTCTTCAATCTGCTCCTCCACAGCTGACAAGAACCTATATACTCTCAAGGCAGGTAGTAAGCAGGGTTGGAGCCTGCTCTACTTTTTCTCCTGCCTCCCCTTCCAGACAACACTGAATGCAAGAACCATTGTGCCCTTACCTGATCACAGAGGTGGAGGGCAGTCAGTAGCAGGAAGGCCCCTGTTGTGGGTCTGTAGAGCCTCCAGTAGGGCTTTTCCAGAGTTTTAGATTTCAAAAATCTGCAGCAGGAGAGCAGAAAGCACAGAGCAGTTGCTGGGTGGTGGTGGTGGTTCAAGCCAGGCAAATCTTGTTCCCTTGTGTGGCTTCTTCCCTCCCTGCAGCACTGTGGGGCCATACAAGGCATTTCAGACAAGCCATGAGCATGCCTACGTGTGTGGGTACTGCTGCATGGGCAGTAAAGTACAAGGCCAGCCTAGAATGCTTCATCACCTGCACTGCAACCTAAGCCCTGCTCTGCCCCAGCTTTATGGAAGTGGTAGGTCTTGGGGCAGTGAGGATAAAGAGGGGGATTAAAGGATCTAGTATGTTAAAGCCCATTCTTAAATCTGTCTTTTGCCTTGCAGTGCAGAAGTGGCTTTGAAGCTCACTAATATACCCTGCTCCCCATTCACATTCAGGTGTAGGGGCAGGTCACAAATCCCACTAGGAGCTGTGGTGCTTTATGCCAGCAGTTTAGGAAGGTAAGAGTCCACACGAAGGCAAAAATAGCATTAGAGTCCTCTTGGCCTTGGAAAGGAAAGCAGGGAGGTGCAAACCATCTGGCACTGCATTTGTCTTCTCTCAGAGAAGGCATAACAGCTTTCAAGGAGACTGAAGGGTAAACACAACCAAAGCAGGGCACCACAGGAGCTCTTCCTGCATCTCTTGGTCACGTGTGGCCCACGACTGGCAGATCTTCCAGGAGGCATTTGAAAAGGCTTACAGATGCAAAGAACAGCCAGGGCAAGCAAATGGGATACTGAGGAAGTGCCTGTTACGGTGTTTGAGGGCACAACCAACCTCCCAGTTCAAAAACAGGTCTCGGGAGAGAAGAGCTCTTACAGACCCTTCCTCCAAGGTACTTAGCAATGGGGAACAGGAAAGGTTGATCCTGAATTCTGGCACTTTAGCAACACTCCCCACATCTGAAGTTGCCATTTGCATCAATCTTGGGATGGAGAAAGCCAAACTATCCTATGGCTGTTGCTTCTCCAGATGCTGGATGTCTACCCACCACTAACACCCCACTGCAGCACGACAGAGAACTCTACCTGACTGCACACTGGTGAAGCTTACCCCCAGCCTGCTGGTGTGGCTAAGCTGCAGTTACAAAGGAGTGAGCTGGGAGAAGAGAGCCCAGAGGCGGTGCTGGCCAGAAACAATAAGCCAGTGACAGAGTACATAACCCCCAGCTCACCTGTTCTTCATGTATCTGAGGAAATCAGGGTGAACCACGAGGTATTTGTCCATCGTGAAACCTTCATCAAATCTCTCCCGGGGCCTCTGCCTAAGGATAGGAATGAGGAGACTCAGGACAAGCTCCTATATTTCATCACAGCTGGAAAGCACCAGCCCTGATACACTTGATGATAACAGAAGAACCACAAACACTTCGGTTAGTCTGTATCATTTCCCAGATCATGACCAGGCCTCCATAACCTGTGTGCACTGCAGAGGAAGAGATCAGGGAGGAGAGGCAAGAACAGAAGACAGGAATATCAAAAGCATGTGTGTGCATAGACAAGAATTGGTGAAACCAGGCCTTCATCCACAAGTAGGCCACCATGTATGGCCACCAGACCAGACAACAGTATGTGTTAATCCCAGAGGACCACAAAGCTTTCTCCAAGCTCTGGCCACACATCATTGAAATCAGGTACTGCTGGGAAGGAGTCATATTGGTTACAGCAGTGCTCAGAGCTGTGGAGAAGGAAGATACTTCTCTGGCCATTAACCTGGCCTTCTCCTGGCTTGCACCTCTGCAGGGCTGAGCACTGTGGGGAGGAGAAGAGCAGAACAGAGAGCTCCACACTGAAGGGTGTAGAGGTGGGGTTAGTTTGTTTTACCCGTAGTGGTTCAAGAATCCTTCCCTGATGTTCTTGTTCAGCACAAGAGCCTTCAGCCACTCGAAGTCTCTAGCTCCCTCCAGGAAGTGAATGTATCTGACATGCTAAGAAACAAGTGAGCATCGGTGAGCAGCACAAGAGAGAGATAACCCTTAAAAACAATAAGCAAGCAGGTATCCAGGCTCACAGAGCTTCTCAGAAGCACATCTTCAGTCTGCAGCTTTTAACTATCCCACAGAAGCAGAATGGAGAAAACATCTAACGTGCAGCTATTTCCACATGCCAAAAGGCTGGGGCAGGACTGACACAGGTTCCCACTGCAAATACTTGCTCAGAGCCACACCAGTGCAGGTTCCCACTAAGCTAGTGTTGGCTCAGCCCCTTTGCTCCTCATGCATGGCAAGATCAGAACTGAAGGCCACAGACTAATAGAATCGCATCAAAGTTGTGCATGCAGATAGCATGGGCCTGACTTACTTCTCCCTGTGGGATGTTGCTGAAGCCTCTGTGTCCCAAGATCTGGAGAGAGGACACCAAGGAGTAGGCTGTGAATCCATAAAACGACGTTTTTCTTCCCACGTCTTTTTCATAACCTTTGATCACAGCCCCACTCACTCTAGCCAAGGGAATCAAACAGAGAGTCAGAGTTAGCCTGTGAGCAAACCCTTGCATCCGTGTTCCTAACAGGAAAAGACAGCATTAGTCTGCAAGAAGGGAGGATTAGGCCCATTTTGAGCTACACCTCTTGATCTGCAGGAGAGCCCCTGCTTCAGAGATGGCTCTTTATGGCTCATCTATGAATCCTAGGCTCTTCTTGTGTGTTTAGGAACTTTCCAGTTCCTTTTTGGTTTTCCATCAGTCATGTTGGCACCCGAAAGTTAGTGAAGTTATCCAGCTGCAGTTATCTGCTAGCCAGAATAAGCTGGTTGTGTATCTTCTAGGAAGGAAGCCTGCCTTACCGGAAGACATAGTGATGGGAGTCAATCTCCTGGCCCATCCCAGAGTTATTCAGTATTCCTCCGTTCCCCACGACAGCACAGCTGATGCATGTTGGCTTGCTGCTGGTGCTGTTAGCCAGGAGCAGCTGCTGGTGGGGATTTGGGGGCAGTAGTGACATCACTTCCTTCACCACTATGAAGCAAACATGGTGGAGAGTTAGCATCAAGAACCTTCAGGATGGACATAGTGAAACCACCAGTTTCCACCACAAGATCCACCTCGCCTGATGTCTCTAACAGGGAGATGCTGCAAACCTTCAGCTACTTGGCATAAGGTCCCTGTTGGGAGTTTGATGGTTCCATCCTGACATCCCCTGAGGGACTCACATGAATAATTCAGCTCCATGAAGCCATAGGGAGGTGCAAAATGCTCCAGGCGGTCCCATTCACTGTCACTGAAGTATCTCTTGTCTGTGAAGAGCACGATGTTGGGCAGGAAAAGATCTTGCAGCCAGTCAGACTTGGCAGCTTTGGCCTTCACTGATTCAGAGCAGGTCTTGAAAAAAAACAAAACAATAAGGACTGATTAGCATGGAGCTGATAAAGCTGAGTGAGCAAGGTGCTTGTGGCACTGGGGGTGAGGATGGGAAAGAAGCAGAGAAACTCCAGTGGTACATCACCCATTCCCCGCAGTGTCCCCATCACTGGGAACATGAGGTGTAATTTCAGCATTACATCAATATCTAGCTGGTGGAAAGTTACCTACAAGGAACTGGAGTGACTTCAGGTCTCTGAGCCTTCCCTCTTCAGAACAACATGCCTGTGATGCTCATGTTTTACTGGCTTTGGGCCTCACTAACTGATGCATATTAATATAACAGGTCTATTAATGTAATAGGTCTAACCTAAATACACCAAATAAAGCTAGCAGTCCCTGCTAGCAACATACCTCACAGGGCCCTGGCCTCAGAGCGCACACAAACAAACACAATGAGGAACATGTGAGATCAAATCACCACTATCACTCCCTTTAAAGTAAGAGAAAGTGTGCAAACTTGTTCAGTGTCATAAATGAATCACAGAGAAGCATGTGGCTGAGAAGGGAATCCCAGCCAGCTTCTCCTCTCTAACAAAAGGGTCTCACTGTAGCTGGCAGGAGTTAGGCTCTGAGTGCAGATGAAGAGCAATCAACTCCCCTTTGTAAGCCTTTCTTAGATATCTTTCCTTAATAGCTACTGCAATAGCTATTGAAAGACAAAGCAGGACAGCAAGTGGACCAGCTCAAATCCCCAGCGATGACCAGAGTGTATTGCCAAAGCCTTGCTGTGTGCTCCACAGCTGACCTGGGTTCTCTGCTATGGGTGAGGATGACAATCCATTCACAGCCTGAGGAGACAGCCCTCATCCTGCCTGGCACAACAGGAGTGCAATGAGAACATTGTGGAGGGTTTCATGTTGGCGGCATTTCAATTGCAGCACATTTCACATCCAGAGACAGGGACATTCCCTTCCTACTCAAGCTGTACCTTGTACTGTCCTAGGCTTTATAATTCTTGTGCCTCCACAGCTAGACTTGGTCAATACTAGAGGAACTAGGGAAAAGCCTGATCATGTAGGAAATGAAGGAGATGGGGGTGATTCTAGTCACTTCTCTCTGCAGAATTAGACATCAGGTTGGGAGTAAGATCCAACACGTGATGTCTGGATCCACAGACTCACTAAAGACCCTTCTGTGCGTAGTTTCTCTCTTCTATCCTGAGGAAGGGTTTTCCCCACTGCTCAGCTCTTCTGCACACCCAGATGCTCTGCAGCCTCAGTGCTGGATGCTCTCTGCTACATGCTGTGAACTGCTGTCTCTCATTTCTCTGCCAGTTCCTGCTCTCCACTTCTGAGGTGGTTGCACATGCTCTGTAGCTCATCAGATGTGAAGATGGGAACATCTGGCAGTTGGTGAGCAGTATCCTGGTGACCTAATCTCACTGTGTCTACAGGCAGTAACACTGGGCAAGAGGGGTGAGGTACTGTCTCATGTGGCATATGCACTCTTACCCATGTAATTCACCCACTCCCATTTGTGGGTGCCTCAAGATGATGGGGAGCCCAAGGAAGAAGGATGCACATCCTGCTCCACACACTGGGTTATCTGCCAGTGACTCAGTGAGGCTGTGCCAGGTCACAAGCTCAGGCCTTTAACAACCAAGTTCTGCACGTAACAGTCACAGATCTTTGGAAAACAGAGGTGTCCCTGGAGAGCTGCTCCTCTCAAGAGGCTACACTGCAACCATCAGCAGAGGAATGGCTTGCACTGCCAAAAGGGGCAATGGGGAACAACATGAAAGCACCACAAGAGAGAGAGAACTCAAAAGTGAAATATCAAACCAATAAAACTCATACATAACAGCTGAGGACCGGGGGTGTGTGTGTGTGTGTGTGTGTGTGTGTGTTAGTCTGGAGAAGAGAAGGGTCAGGGGGGACATTATTTCCCTCTACAACTGCCTGGCAGGAGGATGGAGCCAGGAGGGGGCTGGTCTCTGCTCCCAAGGAACAAGACAAGAGGAAACGGCCTCAAGCTGCACCAGGGCAGGGTTAGATGGAGCTGAGGAACAATTCCTTCCCCAGACGGTGCTCAGGCATTGGAACAGGCTGCCCAGGGCAGTGCTGGAGTCACCGTCCCTGCAAGTGTTCACACCCCGTGCAGCC